AGTATCTTCCTGATGGTTCAACCGCAAAAAAAACTATCAATAATGGATACGACCATTTCAACACCACCTGCGGAGATGGGGAGTAGGAGGTATTTTGGGCATCCCTACCCTCTCGCTTCGGTGTCACTCACTCTCTCTCTCTCTCTCTCTCTCTCTCTCTCTCTCTCTCTCTCTCTCTCTCTCTCTCTCTCTCTCTCTCTCTCTCTCTCTCTCTCTCTCTCTCTCTCTCTCTCTCTTTTCCGAGAGCTTCTCCAAATCCCAAGAAAATAATTCTGCCAGCCGCCGGTAGCGGGCAAAGGCTAACAGCAGCAGCAGAAGCAGCAGGAGAAGCAGCAGCAGCAGGAGAAGCAGCAGCAGCAGGAGAAGCAGCAGCCACAGCCGCAACAACGACAGTGGCGAGAGTCACACCGCAGAGCTTCTCCAAACCCCAATAAAATAATTCTGCCAGCCGCAGGTAGCGGGCAAAGGCTACCAGCAGTAGCAGCGGCAGCAGCAGCAGCAGCAGCAGCAGCAGCAGCAGCAACGACAGTGGCGAGAGTCACACCGCACCGACGGAGACGATGACAACGCCGCTCGAGATGCCGATGGGGCGGCGCACCCCAACGCCGCCACTGAGGGGCCGGCGCATGGACCCGGGGAGGAGGACATAACACATGACATGATTATGACGCAAGCCCACCTCTGGCCTAGATCGCCGGCCGCCGCCCCAATCGTTGAGATGCTGCAACAGCAACAGCGCCATTGTCAATGGACGGAACCCCCTCAATGGCTCACGCCCACCGCGCCGCCCGCCGGCTCAGGGAAGAGGGATGCCGAACTTCGTAGCTGGCACTGCTGTAGGGCACGAACCCGCCGGTTAGCAGTGAGGGCAGTTCACGTCCGGACCTTGCGCGTATTGTCAAGCATGAGGTCCGGACGGGCGCTACGCTCACTGCTCAACGGTGGGCTCGTGCCCGTACAGGAGTCCCTGCCACAGCGTACAGCATCCCTCTTCCTTGAGAAGGCGGGCAGCGCAACGGACATGAGCCACTGAGGAGAATCCGTCCCATCAATGAATGAGCTGTTGCAGCATCTCCACGATAGGAGCGGCAGCCGGGGATGGGAGGGTTGGGCTTTGCATCATCATCATCATCATCATCATCCTATGCTGTCCCCCCTCGTCCCCCCACCCCTGCGGCCCCTCAAGAAATCGAAAAAAAAAGGGAAAGCCTGTGTCCATAAATAGCACTGAGAGTTTCTTGTAGTCTGTCCGATGGTATGAAAGTGCGAGAGCCAGCCACATTCCACATGAATTGTTGATGTAGACTCTACAAACATACATAGTCTATGCATTCTACACAGTTGCAGCCGTCGCAGGCAATTCTAACTCGTCATTCGAGCATTCTGACTTGGCCGTTCATCTTTTGCGTGGATCGTACGCGTGTGTGTGGCGGTAGAGGGTCTACGCGTGTGGTACAGGGGTAAGGTGCGTAACGTGAATTGGCGGAAGTCTCGCCGCGAGTTTTTTGTTCGACACTTTTTTTCGCGGGAAAACTTTGCAAACTATTACTATTGTGCTCCAGAGCGCGCGATTCTTGTCGAAAGAAAAAAAGATTCAAAACTTTTGGCGGGACGTTTTGCTCTCGAAAAGAGCGTACATGGGAAAAACTCCGAGAAGAGGTCGAAAACTTCAACTTTTCTCGCGACTCCTATGTATGCTCCCATAAAAATCGGATGTTACACCCAAAAGAGGCGTGTAGACTGGCCGGCGCAAGAGCAAACGGTACGAACACACACGTTCCCACGTCCACGCCATCATTGACACTCGCCTGAAAGGCAGGTTTCCGACCGTTGTCAGCGGCGCAATGTACACCTTGCCCTCAAAGTCCACTGTCCGCTTCTGCGCCCTGGGCTCCGCCCCCTCCAGGCAAGACCGCACCCACTCCCCTTCCCCCCGACCCCCCCCCTTGTCCTTGCCGTTCGCGGATGCGCCGCCAGCAGGAGTGGCAACGGTGGGCGTGCTAGTGTCCGCACTAGTCGCTGCCCCGGCCGCCTCAACGCCACCTCCCACAGCGTCGGCAGCGTCGGCGGCGGCGGCGGCGGGGGCACCAGCCGCAGCATCGGCAGCGGTAGCTTCCACCTTAGCGCGCTTCGCTGCTGGCGGGCTGCCACCACCACCACCACCACCACCACCACCATCGCTACCCTCGATGTCCATCCCGCCCCCCCCCTTGTCGGCCGCCCCGGTCCCCGCCGCTGACGCGGCCGTTGCTGGTGCGGCCGTCGTTTGCTGACCGTCACCGGTGACGCCGTTTGCGGCGGTGGCGGCGGCGGTAGGCGCATCCGACGACGGGGGTTGCTGCGATGCCTGCGGCGCGTAGTCTTTGTCCAGGGAGGCTAGGAAGGCCGGCCAGCCATTGCGGTCGCACGCGAACGGCACCTGGTTGCGCCGCAGCTTGCCCTGAAGATCCCTGGAATGACAACACGGCAACAAAATCAAGGAAAGGGATTTTTTTTTTTTGAAAACGGATCTACCACTGCTGTACTGCTGTAGTTCTCGAAAGAGATGCAGTTCTTGAAGGGAGACGGACCTGGAGCACTCGCCCGGACAACCTACCACCAACAACATATTATCAAAGTGTTTGCACTAACACACACTGCACATCGCAGAAGACGAAATCAATCACATTAGTCAGCGAAGTCAGCGAATCAAACCGAGAGACTAGACCGACCAGTCTCGTGGTTGGCTGCCGAGTCTGTCGGTTTGATTTCGGCTTCCAGATGCATAGCAGAGCACCGACCTGGAAAGATCGTTGATGTAGTTGAAGGAGGACGGGGCCGGACCACCCTCCCGGACCACCGGCTTGAGCGTCTCCAGGTCCGTGTGGGCGCCGCCGAACCGGCACTTTAGCCCCGACGGGCAACTCTAGTGAACCATAAAAAAATATATCGACACCCGAGCGGGGGCATTGAGTGACCGAGGGATGCCGCAGTGCCAACAGACGGTAGCAAAAAAACAGCGGGACAATCGGAGGAGAGTTCTGGAGGAGCGCGGGGGGGGGGGAGGGGGGGGGGCTTGGAAAAGTGACCGCTTTGGCACTTTGGTCTTGACCGGAAGGTAAAAAACTTTACCAAACGATAAGAAGTTGAAAATTAAAATAGTAGAGAAAGCAGGGTCACAAAATGAGGGTGTCGCTACCACCGCCGTAGGTAGCGCAAGATGAGCTAGGTCGGGTCGATTTTCGAAGCTCGGCAGCCAGACCAACCAACGGGTCATAAATGTGCCGAGAATTGATGATTGCTTGGACCGTTCTCCACAACTGTTTCAAAGCCGGTACCAATACAATTGATTCGCAGTAACACAATCTTTCAAGAAAAAATCTGACGGGGCAACGACTTCGCGACTCACAAGCAAAGGGATCGAAACGTCGTGTATTTACCCTTGCAAAATAAGAGGTGGCACCAGCAACGACGGCAGCTATGTAAAGGTAAGGCTAACCCACTCACCCCGCGAGCATCCCAGATCGGACAAGTCTCTGCGATGTCGGGGGGCTTCTTCTCAAGGTACGCCTTCACATCGTGGGCGAAACGACACCTGAAAGGCAAGACACACAGCGGCAATGCAAGAAGCGAACAAGGCGCGCACCACACGTGAGGCGCTTAGAAACAATGGCAACACACCGCCAAGGCAAGAAAGACACCGACACATGTTGCGTGAAGAGTGAACAAAGCAGGCAACGTGCCCTCACGTACAGAGAATCATCGGCAACATCAAGTCGTGGGCGAAACGATACCTCCAAGGCAAGAAAGACACCAACACATATTGAATGAACAAAGCAGGCTTCATACACCACTTGTTGGGCGAAACGATGCCTCCAAGGCAAGAAAGACACCGATATTGCAAGAGTGAACGAAGTGATGCAACATACCTCCAAGGCAAGAAAGACACCGATATTGGAAGATTGAATAAAGCAAGCAACACGCAACGCCACTTGACGGGTACGAGCGGCACGTTCGGAAACGATGGAGCACATGCATCCCCTGGAAGAACGAACGATACTTGCAACAAAAAAGTGACAACCGGATCGTATACCGCGGTAGGGAGGACGTTCGATGGCCAGACGTCCGCCGTACAAACATCATGATAGACATGTATCAGATCAACAAGGCGACATTAGCGCCTCAGAACGCCCGTACCAACAAGATGCCAATATCTCCCCCAAACAAATGCGATAGGCTTACTCTTAGTATCAAAGCAATAACGCAACATTGACACCGCCGAACGGAAGTACTAACGCGGTGCTCAAACCTATGCCCCAAACGTTAAAAACAAAAACACGATAGACATACACATTGGTATCAATACAACAGGGTGACATTGACAATTTCGAGTGCCCTTATTAACACGATGCCTCTAACCTAGCGGTATGCCCCAAACCTTCCACAAAAACACGATAGACTTGTGCATACACAAACAACAACAGGGCGGCACTGACAACTCCGAAGCAGAAAAAAACAAAACGTCGCGTCGACTACCGACTCAAGTATCCGCACCTCTCGCCGTAGGTGCAGGGTCGCCCATCAGACAGGTGCTGGCAGAGAGTGTCCGCTTGGGCGGGGCGGTCGTCCTTCGGCCGCTTCTTGTTGCGGCCCCGCTTTCCCTTCTTGCCTCCTCCCCAATCGCCTCCTCCCTTATCCTTGCCGTTCTTGTTGCCGTTCGTGTTCTCGGACGGAGTGCCGGTCTCTACAGAGTCGCCCACCGAAGCCGCTGTTCAGAGTGCGGGGAGAGCAGAATACATGGTTGGGACATTCGAGCAACAGGGACCGAACCAGTCCTTGAGTGCGTATGTTGTGGTGACACAGCCAGTGCGGGAAGAGCATGATACATCTACCCGTTGAGTGCGTTTGTTGCGTTGTCACAGCCAGTGTAGGAATAGCCTGATGCATCTACCCTCTGAATGCGAGTTTGGTGCTGTCATAGCCATTGACTTAAAAAAAACAGACAGGGAAATGATTTCGTTGATGCCGTCGTAAGGGCCGGGCAGATGGAGCAGGCGGGTGTACGCCCATGAGGTATTTTTCAGCGAATACAACACCACCTTCACATGGCACGCACGAGGGGGGAAACATGTCAGGCTCAACAAACCATTTCTATTCGGTCAATCGAGCTGGCACAAAACTGTCTAGACGCTCCCCGGACAAAAAAACGTTTTCCACGCAAAACGACCAAGGCACAAGGCATTAAAAAAAAAAACGGGTACACGCGGAGCCTCCACAGCAGTGGTGCCACCACCTCCCGGCGTGAGGGGTTTGCCCAAAATGGTCGTGGTGGGGGGTTAAGCTCACCCTCGGCATCCTTGAGCTTGGCAGCTTCCGCAACAGCTTGCATCTCCTCCTTAGACCTGATGAACCTGCGGCATGATGGCGACATGGCCAAGACACGGACATGGTGGTGGCAGGGGCGACAATGGATGTGTCAAGTCGTCGGGTTGTAGGGAGAACGCATGCCGTGTGTGTGTGTGTTCTTTGTGGTGTGTGCGGAGTTGTGTTGGGTCGAAGAAGGAAAAGAACGAACGCGTCCGGCGGAGTTGGCTGGGAGAGAGAGAAACTCGAGAAACTAGAGAGAGAGAGAGAGACGGGAAGAGAGAGAGAGAGAGAGAGAGACAGAGAGAATATGCATCTGAGTTTAGACCTCAACCTAACCTCAGCCCTCAAGAAAGGCGCCTTAACGTAAGATTCAAGGGATGAAGAGGTTCCAGTTTCACATCCACATGTACACCAGGTGCGCCCTTGTCATTCGGAGCATGCACGGCAGTTGTGGAATCCAGCGTGTTCGATGCTCGAGTCGTTCGGAGCCGGAGAGATGGTTCCTACACCATTGGAGATGGCATCTGCTACCCAAGCTTTTGGCCCTCAAGGAACACCCGATTTCCAGACATTCCACTCCCCCCCCCCTCCGTCACTTACTCGGCCTTGATGGGGGCCCAGCCGTCGCTCTTGCGAACGGCAGCGCCATCAGCACTTGCACCAGTACCAGTGGCAGCAGCGATAGCGACAGTAGTAGGGGTGGCGGGCGCTACGCTAGCCTCGGGCTTGGCGGCGGAGGAGGGCATCGCCGGTGCAACATCCTCTTTCACTGGTGCGGCCACTGCTGCTGCCGTTGTTGTTGCCTCCGCCGCGGTGCTCGGCGATACCTGCCCGGCAGGTGGCAGCAGCAGCAGCAAGGGGTTCATGCATCGTCAGAACCACCTAACCATCACCGTATTTTCAGCACGGGCAAAAGCAGGGGGGGGGCAGCGCGGGGTTCATGCACAATCATCGTCATCGATCATCCTCACCACCAGTATCAGCAGCGGCAGGAGCTGGAGTTCACGCATCAAAATCATCATCATCATCATCAGCAGCAGCAGCAGCAGTAGCAGCAGAGGTGAAATGATAAATTATCCAACATCAGGAATTTCGCAGAACTTAGGGGAGGGTCAGAACCGAGAGTACAAGGGAAGGCGGCTACTGGGATTGGCGAAAGGATGGCGAGAAAAAAGAGACGTATGCACACGTGCTTTTCATCGAGAGAGTCAGCCAGCTGGCGGGCGAAGAAAGTGAGCCACGTGCGTGTGTCGTACTTACTACACCAGAGAACACGCCCCTACAGGAAAAGAATGTTGGCTTCGAAAAACAACACCACCGCGTGTGGTGTTGCGGGAAACGAATTCACACGCCCATACGCGTCTGAAGGAAAACAGCAAGATGCGACGAGGTTGCCATAACGATGACCCGCTGTGGAATGTCAACCCGGAAGATGTAGACAGACAAGCACACAAAATGAGGGTGCCTGGGGGCAAGGGAATGAAGAAAAACAGTGGGTGTTCAACTAACAAGAGCGGCTACTCCCTCTGCTGTTGTTGCAGACACGCACAGCCGACCGAAGCGTGTGCACGCATGTTGTCATGTTCCTTCACCCAGGGGGCATGTCAGGCGCGCCACCCAAACGCTACTACGGTACAATGACTGGTGGAACTCCGTTGCGCCTATTCTTCAGAATAATGAACATGCGATCTAGAGGGGCTTTTCTGTGTGACCTCGAACGTGAGCTATTCAGCAGCCAGGGGGGGATACCTCGTAAAGGGGGATTACAGTATGCACGGACGCGCGAAAGGGACTGCCGCCAACGGGGGAAACACTGTTCAGCAGGGGCGGAAGTACAGCACGCATGGACGCGCGAAACGGGACTGCGAGAGGGGGAAACACATTTTTTTTTATGGGCGCACGGGGGATCCCACTGTCTCCTCGTACGAAAACTCAGGAAACGCCTGCATACCTCAGTTTTTTTCTAACTCCAGTACTTCACTTGGAGACTTCCATCGCAAATTATCCGTCCGCTCACTCCCCCGCGTGTACAAAGTTAGTATCCGAGATTGTAGCCCTTGCGATACACTGCAGATTAGCGGTCTGCGATTCTCTAAGCGATTCTCCTATCATAGAGATCGGTGAGCTTCAACCAGTATTTTCGAAGCTGCTGTGCGGTTCGATTTTGAAACGCTTCAAGCAACAGTGAATTTTGGTTGTGGCCAGACCCACATGTACATGACCCCACGCATTCAGACCGACCATGGCGACGAGTAGGATATGTGAGGGAAGAGCTGCGCTGAAGTTCGCGGCCCCACACACTCACATAGGCCCTGATTCGCCGTTTCTGTGAGCTTGAAGCGTTTCAAAATCGGACCGCACAGCAGCTTCAAAAATCCGCTTGTAGCATACCGATCTCGATGACAGAAGGATCTTTTGGACAATCGCGGACCGCTAATCTGCAGTGTATCGCAAGGGCTACAATCTCAGATACTAACATTGTACACGAGGGGGGGTGAGCGGACGGTCGATTAGCGATGGAAGTTTCTTACTGGCGTTAGACTTTGGAAAACTGAGATATGCAGGCGTTTCCTGGGTTTTTGAAGAGGAGACACTGCGATCCCCCGTGCGCCCTTGATGTACCCAGAGGTCACCAGGTCGGAGAGCCACATAAACAAAAAATGTCAATGGTAGACATATGTCGTGCATGTTGTTTTGAGGTGCGTTGGCTGTGGCAACGCTGATGTGGAGTATGCAACAGATGTGTATGTGTGGTGTGTGGTGGTGGTGGAACGTTCACACCAAAACGCGAATCCTATGTACAAAAAGTAGATCATTACACTAATAGTGTGTTGGAACAAGGAAGAGAGGCGCGTTGGGTGGCTGCTGTAGTTGAACCTGGATTGAGTCTTCTTGTGTTGACTGGTGGAGGCCTCATCCCCGAGAATAGTTGCTTCCCCTGACACTCTAGAGCATTGCTGGTTGAACCTCGATTAGAGATGCGAGTGAAGATATGATTCCAGCACGTAAGGGGACAGCAGCATGCTCAAGGCCTAAGGCTGGCTGACATGATCCGATACCCAATCGTCTTGGTCGCAAGTCTAAAAAGCAGATAACGTACAGTCCCGTGTAGCACTACTCGCCTGGTACGCTTGCTACTGCGTACCTGGGGGCGATTTTCGTTTTCCATGGCGGTCTGTGCTATCCCGACAGCAGATCCCGCGCGGGGCAGGTTGTGTCACGGTGCAGCTGCTGCGCGTTGTGTTGTTTGTGTTGTTGTCCAAGTTGTCGATGAGGGGGGTCCCGGCAAATGAATTCAAGCTTTGGCTTCCTGCCATCCTAACCGTCGAGTCCCCAAGATGGAACGCGCGGTGCCCTGTCACTGGAGCAGTCCATATATCTTGGAAAGCAAGGACATGGAAGAGAGTGCGCGTGAGCCGAGAGGCACGAAGCGTCGCCGAAGCAACAGCAGTAGCAGCAGTAGCAGCAGTTCCGCCACCGCACCGGGCGGCTCGCGATCTCGAAGCTCCCAGCCGGAATGTTCCGGAGAGCTGCTCCGCCTGTTGGGCACAGCGGCGGAGGCAAACAACGCAGGTAACATAACATCGGTGTCTCTCTCGGTTTCGTGGCGCGACAGACGGGCGTGCACGCCGATGTCCTACCGCCTTGGGCGGGCGTGAAGCTACAGCAGTGCCTGCTGCTGTCGTAGACTTGTGTTGTGTTGCACCCTAGGACCGGCCGGCACTCGCCGGCAAGAGCCTCGGTCGATGATTGTTGTGAAGCAGATCGGTTCCTTGTTCTGTTTCATCACCGCTGGAGTTTGTTGCCCCGGTTCACAGCCGTCAAACGCGACCGCTGCCGCGACGCACTAGTGTGTGCCGACAAGGCAATGCGGCAACTGGCCTATTTCTGCTGTAGATGCTGTAGACAAGCAGGGCATGCCAGCCACTGACCAATTCCTGCTACGATGCGCGCCTGCTGTTGGTGGTGGTGGGCATGCAACGGCGCTCTCTGTAGATAGGAATTGCGCGCCGCACATGCACATGAAAATGGGCAACGGCCGAAATGATAAATTCATGCAACCCTTTGTTGATACGACCCGGGCACAGCACGCTGCCCCATGCTGCAAACTCTGCACGATATAGACCCATGGATCGTTTTCTGGCAGCATTTCTAGAAGTTTTTTGCGGATGCTGCATGAAGACCTAAAAAGAAAATAGAAGGGCATTCGCGTGCTTCGTATTATACCGTAAACTTCCCGAATCTTCCCTGTAGGATGCCACACAGGTGACGGTGCGTACGGTACTGCCGCAGTTGACGGACTGTACAGTAGTAGGACACCGCCAGGACACTGTTGGGCGAATGGCTCACGCTGTGCAGCGAGGGACGCTGTCCTCTCGAGCTGCTGGCGTTGTTCATGCGAGGTGTAGGTAGGGTAAACACAGAGTGATTTATTATCCACACCCAAAGCTGTCTTCACCTGAGGGTTACAGACTTGGAAACACGCCTTCACAATACTGCACAGAACCCGTGCAGTAGAACCAGTCGTACTTGTACACAAATACTCCAACAGACACCACACAACCCTGGAGCGATTCATACAACAGTTGGATGACTCCACGGCGAAGAGGATGCAAAAATCAAGCGACATGGTTTCGGAAAGCTCTCGAATGAGAACCAACGCGCCGTGCTTCAGCACTGCCACTCTTTTCGGCTATTTTCTGGGGAGGAGTCTACTGTAGCTTTGAGCATTGGTCCAGCGGATATATTGTGGGAGTAATCGAGCTTTGAGAACTGGTCCAACGGGTACGGTATGATATGTCATGTCACCTACGTACACAGCAGTGTATGTTACAGTCGAACTTCGAAGTACATAGTATGCGATGTATTGTTCGGCATGCAGCTGTCTGCGGCGTAGTCGACTAGCCAGCGAACAACGTCGATCTTATGTGTGTTGCGTACCATACGCGTATCGAAACAATCGCTCTACTTGTCCGACTGTCTGCCCCTCTCTTCCCCTCTCTCTCTCTCTCTTTCTCTTGCTCTCTCTGCTCTACCTCGCAACAGACGAAATCACAGCGTTGGCGGCAAGGGGGGTCGACGTATCTGCCCCCTCCGGCGCCGGCGGCCTCTCCGCCCTGCACCGGGCGACTCTCTCGGGTAGCACGGACGCCCTTCGCACGGTGAGTCTACGTAGGCACCTACCTCATGACTCTCGTTCGGGATCAAACTCGAGTTCATTTTTCCTCAATGAAGGCGACCCAATTGTGTACGGGGGTTTGCCCCTGGGGCAACATGTTAATTTCGTGCTCTCTCAAGTTCTGATTCGAGGCAGACGAGTTACACCGGGACATTCATGCTATGACAAGAGCGGGGCGGGTTATGAGCGTTTTCGTATTTCGTGTCGACATACTCAATCAAACAGCGTGCTCGGTGTTCGGCCGTTGCCATTTTTCCCGCACCACCCGATCTCGCAGCAAGCAAGAGAAGACTCTCTACTCCAACGGTGGAAGACCGACGATCATATGGAGGCGGTTATTGACTACCGTAGAGAACCCCTTCCCCTCCCTGTCGTCACAATATCAGCTTTCGTTCGCCTTCCCACCAACCCGCTCCGAATCACAAATGAGATGTCTATCAAACGTTCTCATTTCTAGGAGGCAGGGCAAACAACCCCCCCCCAAATTGACGGGTTTGAAGAGCGTAATCGTACCGCCGCTAGAGGACGCCGGAGAAGTATGGGAAGGAAATAAGAAGGTAGTGAACTAACTCGAGGCGGCGCAGATGAAAGCAGCGAAAATCATCCTAGGATGCTCCAAGCGCACAAGTAATGCAGCCGTCAGGGCAGAATTGGGGATCCAATCCCTACGGTCGTGAAGAGACGCAAGGAAGCTGACATGGCGGTATCGCATGTGCGGGATGGGAGAGGAGAGGTTGCCGAGAATAGGATGGGAGGCGAAGTGGGCAAACAACAAGAGGGGTAGACAACCCACGGAATGGGTGTAAGGTTGTAGAGGACGTATGGAAGGGGTTAGACATCGACGAAGATGAAACGCTGGAAACGGAGGGTCTACAGGGGTTCAAGGAGAAGATGTCTGTTGCTTGTGCCGAGAGAGAAGAACAGAATCTAAGGAAAGATACCGAGGATAAGGAGGTCTAGAAGTGTACGGAATGTTGAAGGAAGGAGTAGGGTTCAAGGATTACCTGCATGGACCAATGGATGCAGGGACAAAGCTTAAGGTCAAATTCAGGACCGGGGACATAGGCCTTCGAGAACGTCGACGAAGACATAGGACGGTAGACGACGAAGACGACATGTTCAAATGTGATTGCGGCTTCGAATGCGAAGACCGTGTTCATGTAGTCGCGGAATGTCAGTGGTACAAGGAGAGGGAAGTGTACATGACTGAGCTGGGAAAGATACAAGGGAGGTACAGGGAGATGTTTGAGGCATGGAATAGAGAGGAGAGGACGGTAGCTGTACTGGGGAGTACGAAGTGGTTTGAAAAGGCGGGAAGGGATATCATTAGGACAATTAGACTAGGGAAGACATTTTTGAGCCACCTTTGGCAAAGTAGGAAGGAACGATTGGACATCGGTGATCGGTCCTGTGGGAACAATGCTCCGTCCTCTCGAGGACGCGTGGTCAATGGTCTAACCGCTAAGGCATGCAAAACATAAGAGTACGCCCCCCCCTCACCCCCACCCCACCCCCTCCGCGTGCCCCCCGCAGCTTCTAGAGGCCGGGGCGGACCCCGACGCCGCGGAGACCGATGGCGGGCGAACGGCGCTCCACTTCGCCGCCCTCCGGTCCGACCTAGCGGCGGTACAAGCCCTCGTGGCCGCGGGGGCCGCCAAGGAGGCCTGCGACCTCGACGGCCGCACCCCTCTCCTCCTCTCCTGCATCGTGCAGTGCCCGTCTGCGCCGGCCACAACCACCCCGTTGTGCCTCCTGAGGGCCGGGGCCGTTGCGACGGCGGCGGACGCGCAGGGCACGACGGCGCTGGACATCGCCGTGCGGTACGGCCGCGCGGAGATCGTCCGGGAGATCTTCTCCCGGAGGGAGGGAGCGCCTCGCCCGATCTCCGGTAATCTGGGGCTCTTGTACCAGGCCGTGAGGGGAGGGGACGCCGGGATCGTGGCTTGCCTGGTGAACAACGGGTGGGAGGGCGGGGTTCCCGTCGTTACCGCTTCCCTCCAGCCGCCGCCGCCGCCGCCGGTGGCGGTCCCGCCGTCGTTGCGGTCGAGAGAGACGTCCGGTGCGCCGGTGCCATCGCCCGTCGGTCGGAAGGGTGCGGCTGTTTCTTCACCGGCTGCCGTAGATGCTGCTGGGTCGCCCGCGTCGGTGGCGGCGGTGCGAGAGACGCTGTCGCCGCTCATGCTGGCGGCGGACAGCGGGCGGGTGGACGTGGTCAGGGCTCTCCTGCGCGGGCGGCACGGGGGATTCCCGAACGCGGGCGACACGCGCGGCTACACGGCGCTGCACTTCGCCACGGTATGATGGGGACGTTTTGAACTTTGCCTTCCTGCATTGCCTCTCGAGCATTGCAGCGTAGGACAGCAGTGTGACACAACGGCAGTCAACGGTCATGTCATCGGTCTTCTTTTCGACAGTCTTGTCAACAGTCTTGTCAACAGTCTTGTCAACATGAGTGGGAGGTCACGTCGTTGGAGCCGTTCGGCACGCCGTGTTTCGGGGCTCGGATGTGTCGATAGCATTGCAGAAAGTGAGGGCTGGCGTAGACTGCGATGCAGTACACTTTGCTGGCTTTAGCATTGCTTTGGAGCGGGCTGTTCGCAGACGGGTAAGCAGCGGTCGTAGTGTGACGCAGGACGTCTAGCCCAAGCAAGCGCTTGCTTGAGCCAAACTCCTTCGCTCGTTATTTTGTGTTGGGCGTTCGTGCTCGACTAGCTTAAAAGGACCCTTTGGCAACCTTTCCGGCAGTGTCGCCGTGTTTCATTCACGTTGTTCACACCGTCTCTCGCTGTACTACGGAGTACCTGTGTGGGCCCCTTGCTTGTTCTCTCCCTTTCCGCCCTCGGTGTCACTAATTTGCTGTTTTTGTTCTTCATTGGTCATTGGTTCCGGTGAATCCAGTGCCTATCTTCACTGTCTCTGTTGGACAAGATGCCCCCCCCCGCATTGTTTTCCTTAGACCAGTCTTACGAGCTTTCGCTAGACCTTTGTCTTTGGCCCACCGTCCCCCCCTTTTTCTCAATACGCCACTTTTTGTTTCCTCGCCAGATGCGGGGGTCGGTGGGCATCGCGGAGGCGCTCCTCCAGGGAGCCGCGGGTTTCCGCAAGGGCGCGGGAGGCGGGGAGAACAACGGCAACGGCGACGGCGACGGCGGTGTCGTTTCCTTTTTCACCGCTGGTCCTGGTGCTGGTGCTCGTGCTGGCGCTGCTGCTGCTGCTGCCAAAGGTGCTGGTGATGGTGCTTGTGCTGCTGGTGCTGCTTCCGCTGGCTCGCCGGCGGCGGCGGACCCGGACGTGACGAACGCGGACGGAGACACCGCCCTGCACGTGGCCGTGGCGACTCGGCGGATCGGCGTCGGACAGGCTCTGCTTCGCGCCGGAGCGTCCGTCGGGATCGCTAACGGGCTCGGGCACACGGCGCTCCATTTCGCGGCGGCGTTGGGGCTCTCGGGGTTCGCGAAGGAGCTGCTGGACAGGGGGGCGGACGTAGCGGCGGTGGACGGGACGGAGTCTTCCTCTTCCGCCAATGCTGCTGGTGCTTCTGGTGGTGGTGGTGGGGGTGGTGTTATCGTTAGCTCCGCGGGCGGGAGGAACGCCAGAGACAAGCCGGGAGGCGACAGGAGGGCCAAGATCGCCGCGGCGGTGAGGGTCACCACCACCGAGGCGCCCAGGAGAAGAAGCAGCAACGCCACCTCTACCCCGTCGGCGGCGGCCGCCGCCGCCGCTTCCCCTAACGCGGGCAGGGGCCGCTGCACCAGGGTATCCGCCGCCGCCCTCGCCACGTCTCTGGCGAGCCCACTGTCGAAGAAGCCAAGCCAAAAGAGAAGGGCTAGCACCGGCACCGCCGCCACCGTCCGAAGGGGCGTCGCGAGTCCTAACAGAAGGAAGGAAGGCCGCACGCCCTTGCACTTCGCCGCCATGAACGGCAGGGTGGGGGCGGCGAGAGTGCTCCTGGCGGCGGGCGCGCCGCCGGCGCATCGGCGGAACCGGAAGCGGGAGTCCCCGCTGTTCCTGGCGGCGAGGGGTGGACACGCGGAGGTGGTGGAGCTGCTGCTCGAGGCGCTGCGACCCGGGACCCACGTGGACGCGGCGACGGCGGCGGGAGAGACGCCCCTCGGCGTGGCGTCCGCGAACGGCCACGACGATGTTGTGGTACAGGTGATTGGTTGGGGGATTCAGTACACACGGTTGAGAAATACTTGTGACGTTGACTTTTTTTTTTTTTTTTGTCGCAACCACCACATTGGGCGGCGGTATGTGCGATGGAGGAGTAGACTACACGCGATCGCGAAATATTTCCTTGATCGTTTTCGTTTTTTTTTCTCGCCGTTTTCAGAACACAGGACGACGCTCATCCTCTACACTTCGGCTCCTCCGGCGACCTCCGCCCCTCCGTTCTCTCTCCATCTATTCACTGACCTCCTCCGACCCCCCCACCCCCCCACCCCTTCATGATCAAGCTCCTTCGAAAAGGGGCCGCTGTTGTCGGCAGGGACGACAAGGCTCCGTGCCTCGACCTCGGCTGGGACGACAAGGCTCCGTCCCTCGACCTCACCAGCGTCTTGAAGACTCTCCTCAAGGATAACCCTGCTGGCGCGGGCACGGCGCGCGTCCTCTCCGCCCCGCTCCACGCCGCCTGCCGCGGCGGCGGGCGAACATTGGTGGAGGCGTTGCTCGAGAAAGGGGCCGATGTCAACGCGTCCCAGGATCCGGCCGGTGAGGAAGAAGGGAGGAGGAGGATGCTGAGGCCGCTTCACGTGGCCGCGGCGCACGGGAACGCGGAGGCCGTGGGCGCGCTGACGCTCCAAGGGTGCCTGCTGGACGTCAAGACGCGGGATCCTAGCGGGTGGGTGTCGTTAGAAATCGAACGGAATCTGGTCGCCGTTGTTGTTATTTTTTATTTTTTTTTTTGTGGTGGTGACGTTGGTATGGGAATCTTGTCGCCGTTGTTGATGTGTGTGTTTCTAAAGTGGTTCGTGGCGGTGCGACTGACGTGCCTCTCGGCTACACCCGAAATCGGCGCGACACCGGCATCGCCAACTTTGTACTTACCGCCGACGAGCACGATGACGACCCACGCTTGTTTTTTTGTGCGTCTCTGGGTTTACTTCCTCTCTCCCCAGCATGTACCTCGCATGATACTGTACGCTGGCGCTATATGTGCTGCTCGCTGCACGGAATACGCCTTGTTGCTCCAAAACCCTGCGCTTGTCGAAAACGACGGTGAGTCTTCTTCTCACCCCAAAACTTATCCCACGCGCAGGAGCACGCCGCTCGGGATCGCTGTGCAGGAAGGCCACCTGGAGGCCGCCCGCGCGCTGGTCGACGCCGGCGCCGCCATCGACGCGGTCCCCCGGGGGCAAGACGGGAAGGAGCGGGCGACGTCCCTCGCCCGGCTGGCGGCGGACATGAGGCGCGGGGACATGGTGGCCCTCATGGCCAGGGCAATCGTCGACCGCGACTCGTCGGAGACTTGGGCGATAGAGTGGGCCGCTTCCAGGGGGTTTAGGGTCGGCGGTCTCAGTGCCGCTGCCGGCGCTGCCGGCGCTGCCGGCGCTGCCGGTGCTGTCGGCGCTGTCGGCGGGGCCGTTGTCGGAGCGGAGGAGGAGGAGGAGGCGGGGACGGTTGAGCCGGTAGCGGCAACGGTGTCAAGGAATGCGCGAGCTGGCGCTGCCGGTGCCGTCGGCAGGGCCGTTGTGGGAGCGGAAGGGACGGGAGTGGGGAGGGTTGTTCAGGCAACGGTGTCTAGGAGTGAGCGGGCTCAGCGAAGGTCGTTCTTGAGCGAGGGGAAGGGCGGGGAGGAAGTGTTGGTGTTGGGAGAGGCTCGGAGGCTGGCGCCCGGACGTCGGGGTCCCCGGCAGCGTACGGGCCTCTGAGAGAGGGAGGTGGGGAGACAGATTGACACAGAGACAGGCATAGAGGGACAGCTAGGGTCCGTGAATACCGTAGCATTTCTTATATTGCGATGCAACTCCAATATAGGGGGGGGGTGAGACCGGGGGGGCAGGGAGAATGAGGAATAGAGAGAGAGGGGGGGGGGGGG